TGGACTTTGCTCTTTGATGGACAAATAGACAAGTTAAAGGAAAAATGACAGATACCAGTTGTGGAACCATGGTTGGAATTAACCCTGTCCTCTCTTTGTTCCATGCAGCAACTCCAAAAGAGTTTCAAGGTTTATAGTGCCCATGAATTACAAGTTGGAAGGGAAGAATTGTGTTTTGAAATGCAGAGACCATCAGTAGTTCCTGATGTCCCTTGGCCTGTGTCCTGCCAAAATCTTTCCTCTTTCTGCTATAGCTGAGTGCTGAGCCCTGGCAAACACAGACCTGGTTTTGGCTGATGTATCATCACTCATGTTGGAGAACTTGAGATGGACTCTACAGTAGGTAAGTTCCTACAGGAGCAGAGGAGAACCTAGGAAGGAAGCTTCAGCTATTGCTGGTGAGAAAGCAAGTTTTAGGAGTTAAAGATAGTTCACCTGGAGTGAAATAAGGTTCTTCTGCCCTTCTTGGCAGAGCTTCAGGGGTTGCCATCAGCTCCAGGGGCTGGCAGGTGCCATTCCCTGCTAACATGCCAGTTTCAGTGATTTGTGAAAATGTTTTTCCCAGCCCTAGATGTAGAGGGGTGAGGTTGGGTGAAACTTGAAATAGAGATGGAGAAAATATCACAAGGGAAAAGTGGAATTCCCGTGAGACCTCCCTGCCTCCAGACTACAAAGTGCTTCACTTGGCTGTTTGGAAACAAACATGGCATTTCCACAAGAAATAGTTGTTTCATAACAGAGAGGGTGGGTGACAGAAGCACAGACAGGAACGATGTGAAACCACGTGGCAAAAGAAAACAACTGAAATCTTTGCTGTTTGCTGACCCTCTAGAGCAGGGCACTTGCTGCACTGTGGAAAACTGAAACATCTGCAGCCTCTGCTACAAATAATGCAAAATGAACAAAGAAATGGTACTCGGAGCTCCAGGTGTCATATTCCAGGGAGCTGGTATGTTTTAATGAGATCTCAAAATCCTCCCAGTGACAAGAGTTGTTGGCATGTCTCAGCTTTCAGGGGTGCTGCCACACTGCTGCTTTGCATTGTGTTCCCATTCATTGCAGTAAAACAATGAGGATTTAGTTTTTCTGATTCACTTTCCCATTTTACAAGGGTGAGCCCTTCACTGGGATCCACCCTGGGAGACATTCCCAGAGGTAACACTGCACTGAACAGTGACAGTAACAGTAACACATCCACATTGGACTCCTTATGTTGCTTTGAATGGAAACTGCTTCTGAGAGTGAGGGATTTGGAGAAAATAGCTGTTGAAACTGTTCTCAGGACCTGCTCCCACTACAGAGATGCCCTGCTTGTACCAGTGCTCACAGGACTGCTCCCCTGGTATTAAATTTAAACAAACCACTTAATCTTCATTGTTTCTAGCCCTGTGTCTGTAAAATGGGAATAAGTTAGTGACAGGTTCTCTGTGCTGAGGCTTAACTGTCAGTATAGGCAATATGGTCTGAAAGCTTCAGAGGGAAGGGGATACACTGAAGCAGATTCGTTTTATTTAAGCAAATTGTGACTTTTTTATCCCTGCAAGAACTCCAAACGTTCCATCCATCCACACGTAACTGTGAGTTCCTATGGCTTTCAGTGTGAGAATACAAAGATTCAGCTCTTAACCTCACTCTGCTTCCCAGTTCCTGGTTCCCTGCCTGAGGTGCTGCCAGCCTGAGGCAGAGCCGAGCCCAGCAGAGCCGTGCCGGGCAGAGCCGTGCCGGGCAGAGCCGAGCCCAGCAGAGCCGAGCCCAGCAGAGCCGAGCCCAGCAGAGCCGTGCCGGGCAGAGCCGTGCCCAGCAGAGCCGTGCCCAGCAGAGCCGTGCCCATGTCAGCACCTGTTCACAAGCCGTGGGACAGGGACAGGAGCCCGCTGGGTGTTGACACACACACCTCCCGGCTCTCCAATCCCCTCCTGCCTGTCCTGACAACCCTAA